GATTTAGATTGGGTCGCATCAATGCGCACCCGAGTTTAAGAAGGTAATTTTATTAAAATCATGCTTAAAGAGTCTAACGTAATATTATTTTGAGGAAAGCCGTAAAATTCGCTAAATGGCCCATCCCGAAGTCTAAAGTTAATACAATATCTATTGAGGGCCCTGCAATTTGTGGTTTTATTCGGCGAGGCTCGTCTCATCAATTTAAAGACATCATGAAGTGAACTTTATTTCCATTTTTGTTTGTCTCTAAAAATAAAGAAAAGATACTTCCTAATTAGCGCGTCCATGTATCCTTACTAAGATGCCCAACTAATGGTTTAATGGAGACAACTTAGCCTCATTGAGGCTTGCAGCTTCTGGGCCTTTGGCACCTCATCATACAATTCTGCCTGTGCTAGAAGGAATTGCCCAGACATGGGCCGCATTCAGATGAGAAGCAGGCCCCAAGTAGCTCAATTAACGTGAGGCCCAACTCGGCTTACTACACGATTGTTGAAATCTACTGAAATGAATTAAGCCAACACAGTTCACAATTCAATTGATGCTCAAATCGATAAATACCACTGCAACCCAGCAAATAGGCTAGCATGTACAAAGATTATTTAAAAAAACAAAACCTGTTTAACTCCTCATCTCCAATTCATACTTCTTATCATGATCGAATTTGAACATACTTTGAATCTAATTTCAGCTATCAGTTTGGTTTGGACTTAAGGTCACTTTAACAACGTATTTCAATCTGGTTTTGTACGAACGCAGTTAGTCACTAACGTGAATACACATCACAGCTCAAATTAAATTTCCAATTCAAACTAATCATCAGTTCAAGCTACTTTTGATTTTCAAGATCTAAATAGAGAAATGCTAACATAAATCAAATACTGACTACAGCTGATAACTATAAATTAATAGCCCATTACAAATATAAATTCAGTCAATTCAAATCACTCTTAGCAAAACAGCACTCCAAAGTACCACAGTTGATTGCAAAAGCAAATGTTGAAATAACTGAAGATGCAACTGCAATTAAGTCTCCATTTCATTTCATTTCAATTGGATGTTAACACGCATCGAGTTCAGGGCATGTACGTGGAATCAAAACAAACAATGAAGCAAAATGGAGGTCAGCTGAAGCAAAAACACTCGAGCAGAAGCTCAGAAATCAATTTGAATCCCAACAACAATCAATGGAGTGTAAAAAAACAGTCCAGCGCAGATTCAAAACCCAGAAGTGCTTGAAAATTACGCAGAACTATCAGATCTCTTCGAAACCAACTCAAATGAAACCAAAACTATTTAAAAGTCAACCAGAACTCCAGAATCCAAAGCACTCAAGCTCAAACTAGAAGATGCATTGTATATACTAACAAAACTCGAAATCAGCCTAATACTCCATGGGACGGTATTGGTTTTTTTTGGTTTTTTGTATTTTTGTCTGTTCTTGTATTTTTGTATATTTGAATTCAAATGCTAATCTGAAATTTTGAGGAAGGGTGAGAGCTATAGGTGGGAATTCGATGGCTAAAAAAAACCTCCTCCATGAAGTAAAGGGCATGCCCTTTTATAAGCACCCATGAGGGCAGCCCTCAGATTTTCAGTTTTCAATGTCAGTCCCTTACCTATTTATTCAATTAGTCCCTTATTTTCTAACTTGTTATCCAAGTAATACCACTAAAATTATTGAAATGTACACTAAAGTACCACTCCTGAAAGCCCTAGAAGATTCTAGTTGCAACTACCATATGCTGCCTTATCCTAAATGTCTAAACTATCCCTGAACTTAAACTAAAACTACAGCTATAACCAAGACAGTTTCTTAAGCTCTGAATATACCCCAATTTAACTCTTGTTGAATCTATCGATTGAACTCAGAATTAATGACCAAACTAACTACCAAACGACAACTAGTTAAACTGAAACTGAACTAACTAGTAACTAACCTAAACCAAAGGAACACCAGAAATTAATTCAAACAAAACATAGTAAAACTAATTAACAAATTATCAACGGCTTAACTAAAAATCAAACTAAGATCAGGAATTGGAGCATATTAAAAACAAACAAACAACTAGACTTAATCAAAACAAATCAGGACACAAGATTAGAACAATATTGACAAAATTAAAACGCAAATTAAACTAGACATTAACCATGGAATTCACACATGAAGAAAATTAGAAAAGGAAAAAGAATTGAAATAATAAAATGCCAACAAGAACTCACTAACAAACAAAGAGCTCCGGCCAGTGGTTGTTTCTCCAAATCCCCCGAAATTTCTGATCCGTAATATCCCTAACCATGTGTTTTCATAAGAAAACACCTGGTTAGGATTGTTAGGGTCCGAAATCATGGAGACTTTGCATTAGGGTTTTTGGTCGGAAACCTTCAATTTGATATTAGAGCTGTTCCAGGTAGATTCAACAGATAGGGCTATGGGGGTTGGGTAGAGGAGGCCCAGGCGGTCACATAGTGTTAATTTGGTGGTGATTGGGTTACTTTGGGTTTTGGCTGGAGAATCTTTGATCGAGGATTCGACGAGCTAGGGCGGGATTTGAAGAAAACGGGTGGTGGATTCATGATGAGGGAGAAGAGGAGGTCTCGTGGTGTTATTTTGGAGTGGTTTAGGATAGTGGCATTCACCGGAAAACCTTCAATCGAAGATTCGAAGGGTTCAAGTAAGATTCGAAGGAAAAGGCCGATGGATTTGGACAGAGGAGGATAAGGGGAAGTTGGGGTGTGAATTTGGTGGTGATTGGCGTCGGCGCCGCCATTGCCAGCGACGGAGAAATCAGGGCGGCGCAATTAGGGTTCGTGAGAGAGAGAGAAAGCTTGAGGAAGATGATGGGGTCTGAGAGAGGGGGGGTCTTTAAGACAGTTATATATTAAATGGGGTGTGCTTCTGGACCGTCTGATCAATCAACCTCGACGGTCCAGATTAACTGGGAATGAAACGACGTCGTTTGACCAAAGAGAAAGGGCGGACCGGGTAGGGGATTGGGTCTGGGTCAGCTTGGGTGAGATTCGGGGATTGGGCTAGGCTAAGATCATAAAATTGGCCCAATTTCGAGTATATAACAAAGCACCTCCTTTTTAGTTATTTCCTTTGTTTGTTTTTTTTTCTTCCATTTTATAATTTTGTATTATTTTTTCTGAATTTTATAAAGATGCTAAAATAAAAATAAAAACTAAACTACAACTAATTAATGCCTAAAATTATTTTAAAAATTATTTCGTAACGATTTCACAATTAAAGCAATAAAAATGCAAAAGTGAACTATTTTTGTTATTTTCTTCTTATTTTATTCCAAAACAATTTAACCCATAATTAATACTAAAGTGTGAAATTAAATACTAAATGCAAATGCATATTTTTGTATTTTTATATGAATTATCAGGCATAAGTAAAAATGCAAACAATTAACAGAAAATAACACCAAAATTCACAAAAAGTTGTAAAATAATAAAGAAATTGTTTTGTTTGAATTTTGGGAATAATTTGCTTTGGGCAAAAATCACGTGCTCACAGGTGTTGTGGTGAGCTTTTGCTTCAATTCCTCAAAGGCTTTGAGGCATTTCTCGTCAAACACAAATTTTGCATATTTCTCAAGGAGTTTGAACATAGTATTTGCAATTTTGAAAAAATCCCTAATGAACTGCCTAGAGAACACGACATGCCCCAAGAAACTGCGGACACCTTTAACGGAAGTAGGTGGAGGAAGCTTGGAAATGATCTTGATCTTTGGTCGGTCAACCTCTATGCCATGTTTTGAAATTTTATGCCCCAATACAATGCCTTCATCCACCATTAAATGGCATTTCTCCCAGTTGAGCGCAAGGTTTGTCTCCTCACATCTCTTAAGCACTTGTCTAAGATTGTCGAAACAATGCGCAAAAGAGTCACCTACCACCGAAAAGTCGTTCATGAAAACCTCTAGAAAATCCTCCACCATGTCGGAGAAAATGGACATCATGCATCTTTGAAAAGTAGCCAGAGCATTGCACAAACCAAATGGCATCCGGCTAAAGGCAAAAGTTCCACAAGGGAAAGTGAATGTTGTCTTCTCTTGATCCGCCAATGCTATATTGATTTAGTTATAGCCAGAATATCCATCAAGAAAGCAATAGAATGAGTTTCCCGCTAGCCGATCAAGCATTTGATCAATGAAAGGCATAGGGAAATGGTCTTTGCATGTGGCACTGTTGAGCTTCCGATAATCCATACACACCCTCCATCCGGTCACCGTTCTTATTGAGATGAGCTCATTTTTATCATTTTCAATCACGGTCATGCCTCCCTTTTTCGGCACACATTACACCGGGCTCACCCAAGAACTATCGGCAATATGGTAGACTACCCCGACATCCAACCACTTGATGATTCCTTTCCTTACTACCTCTTTCATCGACGGGTTCAACCGTCGTTGACGTTCCACACTTGGTTTCATCTCACTCTCCAATTGGATCTTGTGTTCGCAAATTCCTTCAGGAATCCCTCGAATGTCCGCAATAGTCCATCCAATAGCTTGCCTATGCTCCTTCAAGACTTCCAACAATTTTTCTACCTACAAATCATTCAACAAAGAAGAAACGATTACCGGTAGAGTATCATTTGAGCCAAAAAATTTAAACCTCAATTGTGGTGGAAGTGGTGTGAGCTCTAGTTGCGGTGGCTCAATAATAGAAGGCTTTGCGGGAGGGGTGGCTCTATTCTCCAGGTCAAGAGAGAGCTTTGCCGGAGCATAAGTGTAGGACCCAAGCCCCTCCAATGCATTTACCGATTCCATATATCCTTCCATATCTTTACCATCAAAGTTTACCAAAATAGCCGCCAATGCCTCACCGAGGCATTGTTCTTCCATCTTTATTTCAACCGCATCTTCCACTTCATCAACAACATCAATCATCGAGATTCTCTCATATTCATGTGGTAGTTTCATACCCTTGCTTCCTTGGAATGTGACCTCTCTATCATTCACACGAAATTTGATCTCATTCCGTTATGAATCCATTAGTGCTCTTCCTATGGCTAGGAATAGTCTCCCCAAAATGTTAGGGATCTCTTTGTCAACCGCACAATCAAGGATTATGAAATTGGCGGGTAAATGAAACTTCCCCACTTTAACAAGCACATCATTAACAATTACCATTGGTCTCTTTATAGAATGATCAGCCATTTGCAATCTCATACTTGTGGGCCTTGGCATACCTAACCATGCTTGCTTGTAAATGGCAAGAGGATTCAAGTTGATGCTAGCCCCATTATCACAAAGGGCTCTTGCAAAATCATGTGCCCCAATAGTACAAGGAATGGTGAAAGCTCCCCGGTCTTCTTTATTTTGAACGGTGGATGTTGCAATGATGGGACTAACCCGTTGAGTCACATTCACCACTTCATTTTTTGTGGTTCTCTTCTTGGTAATCAAGTCTTTCAAATATTTAGCAAAACCCGATATCTCTTGAAATGCTTCAACAAATGGAATATTCACCGATAATTGCTTGAGAATTTCATAGAACTTTTCTAGTTTTCTATCATCAACCTTCCTAGGAAGTCTTCGAGGTAATGGAGGAGGAGGTCTAGGAATAGGTGGTAGAGTTTTTGGTGTCTCTTTTATCTTTTACTTTACATCTTCCCTGTTTTCTTCTTGCACTTTCAACTCTTCCGAAACCTTTTCAACTTCAATAACACTTGGCTCTTCAACCTCAACTTCATGTTTGGACTCTTCAACTTCAACTAATTGTTCACTCCCTCCTTGTAGTACCTTTCCACTTCGAGTAGTAATTTCCATGACATGAGAAGTTGGACCACTCCCACTACCCTTGGGATATGCAATTGTGTCACTTGGAAGTGGACCTTTTTTCTTCGAATTTTGTTCCCTAGAGAGGTCTCTCATTTGCATCTCCAATTTTTTGAATGGATGCGGTATGAGAACCAACAAGCTCGGTCATATTCTTCATAGAAGTGTCGGACTTCTCTTGATTTTGCAATACCTGTTCAAGCATGCTTTCCAACATGGAATCACTTGAGGAACCTTGATTTGAATATTGACTCTTTGGAGGAACATATGGGTTTGAACTCCTATTTGAGAAGTTGTTGTTGTTATTCCAATTTCCTTGATTTGAGCCACCTTGGTCATTTCGCCTCTGTTGGTTGCCTTGCCCTTGCGGGTGAGGCCTCCATTGATTTTGTTGTCCTAGACCTTGGTACTGTTGCCTTTGATAACCTCGTTAAGAGTTGTTGAAATAGTTTGCCTCCTCAATGTTTTCATTTGATATAGGTTGTGCATCCTCCACCACATTTACCTTCTTCGTTTGGCTTTCGGTGAACATCTTTGTCAACATATTGACATTTGTGGCAAGCCCTACAATCACTTGATCTCTCTCTTGATTTTCCTTGATCATTGTGGTCAAGGAAGGAGAACCATATGCAATTCCACCTGTGGTGTCCTCTGAGTGCCATGCTTGGTTATGCTTTGTCATTTTGTCAAGTATTTGTGTGACTCTTGCGAATGATTTGTCCATGAAAGATCCATCAGCTGCATTCTTGGCAATAGATTGGTTCATAGGATCCAAACCCATGTAGAATTTTTCCAACAAGATAGAATCCGGAAAATCATAGTTGGGAGACCTCACCAAATATAACTTGAATCGATCCCACGCCTCATGTAGATGCTCTCCCGGTACTTGCTTGAAAAAGAAGATTTTATCCCGAAGCTCAGACTTCTTACTTTGCGGGAACCATTTAGCTAAGAATGCTCGGACAAGTTCGAGCCAAGAATGAATGGAGTTTGGTGGCATATTTTGAAGCCACTTCCTTGCATCCCCAGCTAGTGAGTACTTGAACACCCTTAACGTTAGGGCATCATCAGAGACGTTGTTCTGCTTGTGCATTGCACACACACCCAAGAAGTTTCTAAGATATTATGTCAGATAATTATCAGTGGAATTCCTGAAAAATCCCTCCACTTTGAGTATAGGGATTAAACCATGTTCCACCTTGAAAGTTGCAACACCAACAACCGGAGGTACAGTAGTATTTGTATCCTCAATGTACTCATCTATGTCCGCAAAAGGATTTTCTTCCATTTCTGCCTCCATTTTCTCTTCATATTCGGCCATGTTTTCCTATTAATACCAAGCAAAACAAGTAAAGTATGATGGAATAGAATAAGACGTAAAGTAAAGCACGCACTAATTAGTAATTTCAAAACCGTATTCCCCGGCAATGGCGCCAATTTTGATGATGACCAAATCCACTACTAAAAAGTAAATGGAAACGGCCGCATGCAATATAATTTATTCAACTATGAGTCGGGGTCGAATCCCACAGAGAACAATATGTAGGCGATTAGGAATGTAAGAGAATTATCACTTATCGCGCAATGCCAAAAACTTAGATTTTGGTTTAGAAAATGTTTATAAATGCAGGATGTAAACTAACCTAGAAAGCAAGTAAAATGATCAACGGCTACAAGTATTGATGCATCAGGAATTACACTCAAGTAACGATCCAATGTATTTCACGATTTTACAAATATGAGTGAGTTTATGTTAATTAGCCACGGATAATAATTCTTAATTACCTTCTTCCGGAGACTAACAAGACATCCTAATTGAATTATTCCTAACCCACTTAAGAGATTAAGCACACCCGGAATGGCTACAAGTAGTTCAATCCTATCCCTAGGTAGAATCTATAAAATAACGGTTAAAGCCTCAAGTTCTTGTTAATTAATCTTTCATAACTCCAAATTATCTTTTCCAAAATTAATTTGGAGTTAATGGGCGAGTCCTAGGGTTAGCTAATCCCATTGGAAACATTAAAGAACAAGAATAATTAAAGTAACAATAATTCACTTCATAAAAGGATAAAAATCATACAATAGATAAGCACAACAAGGTATTTAATCCACACTTTAAACATGAATATTTCCATAAAAAAGATTGTTGAATAAAATATTACACACTTAGATATACAATACAACGCAAGGAAATGAACAAAGCAACATAAATGGGTAAGAAATCCTTAACCACAAGCTTGAAATCTTCAAAACCAAAGTGTGTGTGCAAACCCTAGCTTCAAGACTTGTTCTCTCTAGTCTCTTGGAACTTACAATAAGCCAAAGATCTCCTTACAAATGAGCTGGTTTGGGTATTAAAGGGTTTGGGGTCAAAAATGTGAAATTCCAAAACTGACAGTTTTCACGCCCAGTTTCTTCATCGCGTTCGCGATCACACCTTCGCGTTCGCGATCACACCTTCGCGTTCGTGAAGGTTTGCTTTCCTCAGGCATCTTGTTCGCGTTTTGTCCTTCGCGTTTGCGAAGGTTCAGGTTCTGGTTCATCGTGTTCTCGTTGTGTACTTCGCGTTCGCAAAAGTCTAGTTGTCTGCTTCTTCGCGTTCGTGTCGTACCTTTGTCTTCGCGAAGAGTAAACCACTGGGCAGTTTCTCATTGTCCATTTTAGCTCCTTTTTGACTTGTTTTTACCTGGTTTCTTCACCATTACCTCTAAATCACATACAACCTGTAAAATAGAAGTAAATAACATTAAACACACGATTTTATCACTCAAACATAGCAAAAGAATAGGTTTAAAAACAAGATATTTACCAACTTATCACTAGCGCAGACCAGCTTTAGACTAGCCTGATAGACTTAACCGGCCCCGTATGCATTCTTTGGAAACTCCCCATGCCCGTTGGTGTCTCAGCCAACATTATCCCCAGGCCGGGTGCCGATAGATCTTAAGGGGATGGTACTCGGTCTGCGATGTCGAGCCTCCGAGGTGCTCTACCAAAATGCCTTATTACCGAGAAATTAGTTCCCCCGATTTCACTGTATACACACCCTCATTCTATTACTAGGGCAGCACTCCATCTCTCCTAAATGCTATTAGTCTTAGACTCCTTCGAGTTTGTTCGGGCTATGCTGAGCTTTCTATAACTTAGAGAAACCACTAGCTCTCTTGTTTTTATGGGCTTAATTATGTGGACTTATCCATTCTATTCACCTTCTCACTCGCCCTTTCTTATCCTTACTCATGTCCTCTAGAACATCGTCGCTTTACCATACAATTGCTTGCCACCTACACATATCTATTTATATTAGTCGCAACCTTTCAACTTGCTTTCATCATAGATTTCCTTATGTCATTCTGGGACATCAAGCGAGATATCACATCATCTTTAACTCTTTTTTACTCTCTTAATCAGGCTTCTTGATACCTTGAAACCATAGGTTGGAAGACATTCCACTGAGGATGCCATTGTCATTCTTGGATATTGAATCCCCACACTAGAACCTTCTATCTGAAGTAAGGACTATTCACAACCTTCTGCATTTGAGTATCTTGTATGTTGTTCACCTTTACCTTACTTACCTTAAAATCTTGCATCAGATCTTCGATCTCGTTCATGACCTCCCTTCCACATAGGTATAATTCACATCCACAACTCGAAGATCTAATATAATACTTGCACCTGGTGTATACACAATCCGGTGGGAGCTTCATGCTGACTTCTTATGAGTCTGGTACTATTATAAGTGGATTTATCGTAGGGTCATTATAGAATATGGCTATTGTACTATCTCTCATGTACCTCTGATATTAATAGTTGTCCTACAATGTTCTCAATCACGATTTTTATAATTTTCTAGGTCCAATAATCAGACTCCTGATTTACTTAGTTGGTGTAACTCTTTAGTTTCCTCTTCCTTCTGATCAATCTTTATGTATGATTAAGTTATCTTCCGATCTGTGGCTCATGGTATTGGTTATTACTTTAGCCTTTCATGGGCGCTATGGAATATCCACGATACAATCTTTTAACAATTCAATCTGTTGTCTATGCCCTGGGCCCAATTCTTTATTTTAACTTATATCGGAGTCTTCTACAGGTTGTATAAATGTTAGTATATATGCTGCATGGATAATATTCTGAAATCGTAAGTGTGTTCATGACATAACTAACTCTGGATTATTAATCAAATGATTCTTTTCGTTCCTTCTCAGCTTTCTTTAAATGTATGGAATTACTTTTCAGGGTCTTCCTACCCCCTTGTTGCGTGCATACTTAGCTTACATTAGTGCCCACACATATTGAATTCCATACAACTCATATGATATTATATAACACTTCTGATTTTACATCTCGTTCATTAGCCATGGTAGGTGCCACATTTTTATGGATTCCATAAAATGTTTTTGTGAGAATGTTGTTACAAGATCATTTCCTCTTTAGATCATTGTACTTAGGCTGAAGCCTTCTTCCTTATTGCCTCAGCTAGTCTTTCGTTTTAGTACATAGGGAGGACCCACTGACTCTTGTGAAGCTGGGATCTTATTACATCGTATACTAGACGGAATTTTTGATGCCCTCCCTTGCCTATAATTATCCGTAGTTACTTATCTCCACGCCCTTGTACTCATAGAGTTGATTGTGAACTGAAGTTTTGACTCTCTTCCCAGTAGGACTCTTTTTTATTTCGAGAACACTCATATGGTACCTTTAACTACCCCAACCCTATCTAAATATTTCTCAAGGATCACGATGCCAAAACTGCGAGACTAAATTCACTATGTTGGGGTTCACTATGTTTATCTTGCACGATCTGCTGATTCGTTTGTAACCTCTATTCTAGCCATAACTAGGCTCTTCCTGAATCAACTATCAACTACTCGTTGGCCCATTCTCATATCAATATTCCGTGTAATCTTTCTTGAGTTATGTCCTTTTTCTTAACTTACGTCTTGCACTAGCTCCTTATCTATCCATAATATCTCAGGCAGGAACCCTTACATCTGCTCTTTGACATCATGTTTGCATAATGTTTTGGAATTGTAGCATATCTGTAGGATTTGGATAAGTTAAATCTCATTCCTTTCTCATTTTTTTTTTGC